GAAGTGGTCGAGCTTTGGCGACAGGCAGGAAAGCGAGTCGGATGATTAGATCGCATTTGTTATGTAGCTCTTGATATGCATTTCGTATTCTTTGCTTCGTATTGCATATTTTATTATGGACCAGAAAGCAACATTACATATACAAAGCAAAAATTTAACAACAATTTTTATATGAAGTGAATTTTGCGTTGTAAATTTTATAATAAATCTATACCGGAAATAAATTGTCAGTATGACAGATGCATTTTGTTCATTTACTTGATCCACTCGCATTTTGTTCATTTACTTGAGCCTATTTTATAATTAAATATATATATATATATATATATTATTTTCATACAAATCACATAATTAGCACATTAATCCTATAAAAATGTATTTTTGTCTCAAGAGAAAACATTGCAAATTCGGTTAAGAAAACAAGAAAAAAATCACTTATTTCGTTATCTTTCTAATCAGACATAAGCAAACTTAACGGGACGTACCCTATATAAATTTTTGAGATTGAGTTAAAAGAGCGCACGATATTTCTTTTACAGCTGCATAGAGGCATTGACTTAAGGCATTAAGGATTAACTTTCAACGATCGCGTCGCGGCGCCGGCGGCGACATCGCTGTCGGCGTCGGCGTCGGCGTCGGCATCGGCGTCGGCGTCGGCGTCGGCGTCGACGGCAATCGCGACGATGCGGCGGTAGCGGCGCCGCATGCGGGTCGACGTCGCGTGTCATCGCCAGGACCGACTTAAAATACATTGAAACCCTCCACGAGGATGAAGAATTAATTCGTGATAGGAAGATTAAAATGCAGTTTTATGCATGAAACACGCTTGATATTATTATCATAACTTGATATTATTATCAATTTATTACTGCTATAATTCGTTTACGTTATGTAAATATGAAATAAAATCAGACTTTAGTTTATCAGCGCAATCGCTCAATCTATTTCAACGATAGACCATTATTATACCGGGATATCTTAAGTTCCTTAAGACTTAAATCCCTTTCATCAACTGCTTCATCACCTAAACTTTTCTGCGAGCACGAAATGCTCACGATCTTAAAGGGCGATCTATGATCTACTTGCCACTTAAAGCCAGGATGATGGTACCGTATCATATTCGAGCATACCTGGATGATAATTTTCGTGGCTATCCATCCCTCTCTTTTCTTCCCGCATTTCCCGCGTTTCGTTCCACTTTCCTCGTTTCTCCCTA